GGGACAAAGGCGGCCGGGCGTGGTTGCTGGCCACCCTCCATGTCGTTTGCCGCTGTGCCGGCCTTAATAGGTGCTGCTCGCTAGCAGCACTTGCCCCCAGCAGTATGTCGAAGGCTACACGGGGGATCTTTGTCTTTGGTGGTGGTGCAACTGGTCAGCTGGGACATCGACCCCCGCTACTGGCAGACGAAATCCTCCCCTCGCTGTCCAGGTGCTGGAGTCTCCCTCGTGCCGCGCAGGGACAGCTGCCACTGGGGGTGCCCCTAGGCTGACGGAGATGCGGTTCCCACCAGACACTTTAATTCGTCCCCATTGCCCGCAACGCAATCACTCTTCCCCATCACACTGCCCCATCACTGCCCCCCCCCCTCATCATTCCTGGTTAACTCACCCATCGCTCCCACCCATCGCTCCCACCCATCGCTCCCCCATCATCACTTCACCCCCCCCCCGCCCATCAACACTCCACCCATCACTCCCGCTCATCACTGCCACATCCATCACTCCCCCACCATCACTTCCCCACCCCCCATCATCCCCCCCCCCCCCACTCCACATCACTCACCCACCATCACTTCCCCCTCCCCCCATCATCACTCCCCACGTCACTCCCCACATCACTCCCCACGTCACTCCCCACATCACTCCCCACGTCACTCCACCCATCACTCCCCACATCACTCCCCACGTCACTCCCCACGTCACTCCCCACATCACTCCCCACCCATCACTCCCCACATCACTCCCCACGTCACTCCCCACGTCACTCCCCACATCACTCCCCATCCATCACTCCCCACATCACTCCCCACGTCACTCCCCACGTCACTCCCCACGTCCACTCCCCACATCACTCCCCACATCACTCCCCACATCACTCCCCACGTCACTCCCCACATCACTCCCCACGTCACTCCACCCATCACTCCCCACATCACTCCCCACGTCACTCCCCACGTCACTCCCCACGTCACTCCCCACATCACTCCCCACCCATAACTCCCCACATCACTCCCCACGTCACTCCCCACGTCACTCCCCACGTCACTCCCCACATCACTCCCCACATCACTCCCCACGTCACTCCCCACCCATCACTCCCCACATCACTCCACCCATCACTCCACACGTCACTCCCCACATCACTCCCCACGTCACTCCCCACGTCACTCCACCCATCACTCCCCACGTCACTCCCCACGTCACTCCACCCATCACTCCCCACGTCACTCCCCACATCACTCCCCACGTCACTCCCCACGTCACTCCACCATCACTCCCCACGTCACTCCCCACATCACTCCCCACCTCACTCCCCACGTCACTCCCCACATTACTCCTCACATCACTCCCCACGTCACTCCCCACCCATCACTCCCCACGTCACTCCCCACGTCACTCCCCACGTCACTCCACACATCACTCCCCACATCACTCCCCACGTCACTCCCCACGTCACTCCCTTCCCCAGCATCCCCCAGGGACCCGTAGCATCCTCTCAGTTGCCAGGGCAACGCAGCCAAATTTACCAGCAAATGAGCCACCAGATGGGTGTGTGGGGGGGCTGGGGGGGAATCTCCCCCCACCCCACATCCCTCCAGCCAGCCCCCCACATCCGTAATAACAGCAATGACAACAATAATTATGAAGGAGCGCGCTGGTGAAATTAAAGCACCGAGGAACACAAAAGACAAAGATGTCCCGTGTAGCTTCAGCAGGCTGTGTTAGGGGGCAAGTGCTGTTAGCGAGCAGCCTACAAACACAATAGACAAAGATGCCCCGTGTAGCCTTCAGCAGGCTGTGTGGGGGGCAAGTGCTGTTAGCGATCAGCCTACAAACACAAAAGACAAAGATGCCCCGTGTAGCCTTCAGCAGGCTGTGTGGGGGGCAAGTGCTGTTAGCGATCAGCCTACAAACACAACAGACAAAGATGCCCCGTGTAGCCTTCAGCAGGCTGTGTGGGGGGCAAGTGCTGTTAGCGAGCAGCCTACAAACACAACAGACAAAGATGCCCCGTGTAGCCTTCAGCAGGCTGTGTGGGGGGCAAGTGCTGTTAGCGAGCAGCCTACAAACACAACAGACAAAGATCCCCCGTGTAGCCTTCAGCAGGCTGTGTGAAGGGGCAAGTGCTGTTAGCGAGCAGCACCTATGAAGGCCGGCACGGCACACGAGGTTCGTGGTGGGTGTTCAGCACCACCCCCGGCCGCCTTTGTCTTCCTCGACGCTGACGTTTCACGCACACTCGTTTCAGCCCGAGGCGACTCAGGGGCACGGGCCCCGGTACGGGTTCAGACATCGGTGGCCAATGTTGTCGGAAGCGAACTTGGGTCCACAAATCCCCGGTGGGGGGGGGGGGGGGGGGGGGGGGGGGGGGGCTCCTTTGGTCAGCGAAAGTCGCGCTAACCGCAGCGCCACCGCTCGCCCCGCTTCTTGCATGCACCGCACACGCACCGCACACGCACCTCACACGCACCACACGCACCACACACGGACCACACACGCACCACACACGCACCACACACGCACCCCACACGCACCCCACACGCACCACACGCACCACACACGCACCCCACACGCACCACACACGCACCCCACACGCACCACACACGCACCACACACGCACCACACACGCACCACACACGGACCACACGCACCACACACGCACCACACACGCACCACACGCACCACACACGCACCCCACACGCACCACACACGCACCACACACGCACCCCACACGCACCACACACGTACCACACGCACCACACGCACCGCACGCACCACACACGCACCACACGCACCACACACGGACCACACACGCACCACACACGCACCCCACACGCACCCCACACGCACCCCACACGCACCACACGCACCACACACACACCCCACACGCACCACACACGCACCCCACACGCACCACACACGCACCACACGCACCACACACGCACCACACACGCACCACACGCACCACACGCACCACACGCACCCCACACGCACCACACACGCACCCCACACGCACCCCACACGCACCACACACGCACCCCACACGCACCCCACACGCACCCCACACGCACCACACACGCACCACACACGCACCACACACGCACCCCACACGCACCACACACGCACCACACGCACCACACACGCACCCCACACGCACCCCACACGCACCACACACGCACCACACGTTGAGCCGAGGAAGACGCCCAGACACGCAGACGCGCACGACAAATATTCCCCCCGCTGTAGCATTCAACAGGCTGTCGGGGCAAGTGCTGTTCGCGAGCAGCAAGCTATGAAGGCCGTAACTGCAGGACACACGATGTGGGGTGGGGGGGGGGGGGTGAGGTGGCCAGCACCACGCCCGACCGCCTTTGTCTCCCTCAATGGCGATCTTCACTATGCATCGCACCAGGTAATCCTTTGAGGCTGAGTCGACCTATGGGGAGACCCAGGACCGGTTCAGATAATCGCCACCGGTGTTGATGGCCGTGAGCCGGACTCGAACTCGGGGTCGCCGGGTTCGTGTCGCAGCGCAGCGCTCACCGCCGCGCCAACGATCCCACGACACAATAACAACACGCGCACGCTCGCACAAACATATGGACCCCTCCTGTTCCATCTGTATGGGGATAGAGTGTTTCCCCCTCACGCTCGACGTGCGTTTTTGCTCCCGGCTGCTTCGGTTCCCTGCCACACGCGTAAAGAACGCTCGTCATCACTTGGCCGAAAAGGACGCCAGAGCTTGGACAATCGTTTGTTGCGCAACCGCGAGGCTGCCGCCGCAGCCGCCTTCCCGCTCGCTTCTCATCTGTGGCGTTAACCTCCTGGCGCCTCTGAATCGCTCTCTCTCTCTTTCCATCTCTATTCTCTCCCTCTATTTTTTTTTTACGATCAGAAGAAACAAGAAGATGCTCGGTGTAGTCGGCACTTTGCTCCGTTCATCATT